CACTATATGAAGAAGATTACAATCAAGCTTCTTAAAGCTTTACAAGAACTCAACTCAACACACTCTTAAGGGTTATCCTCCCTTTTAAGCTTACAAACTCACAATACAAAAATTTGAAATGTTTTGCAAACTTTAAGAACCTCACAAAGGTTGGGTGTTTGCTAATTTTAAGTACACAACAGTTTGGACAAGTAAATAGAGAAGAATTGATATGAATTCTGCACTTTTCTAACTTAGAATAGCTTTGAGTGCTTGAGCAAATTGGTAGGTGATAACAATAAGTTTTCTTGGCTCTTGTTTCTCTTGGTCTGCAGTGAAATGCTTGATTTATAGGTAAGAAGAAATTGAGAGCTATTGGATAGCATTCTTTAAACCTATAAAAATTTCAGATAAAAAATAACCGTTGGGAGTTTTTAGCCTTCAAGGGATCGATCCCTTGTCTTACGGGGTCGATTGGTTCATGTTGGAGAAGGCTTGATGTCATGCCTAAATTGCCATACCCGATCGATCCCTTTATCCAAGGGATCGATTGGTTCTTTAGGTGATCGATCCCTTATGTGGGGGGATCGATCCCTTTTCTGAAAAATTACACGATGAACGCATTTTGTTTGAGCAACCGATCGTGCCTTTTCTAGAAAATTGTACGATGAACACTTTTTTTATGAAAAATTGATCGATCCCTTGAATGAGGGGATCGATCTGGTCATTTTGAAACCTGAACCGATCGATTCCTACATGGAGGGGATCGATTGGTTTTTGCTAAAACATGAGAAATTTTTGGTTCTGAAAGAAGACAGGATTGATCCCTTTTGTTAGGGGATTGATCTGGTAAGGAGGGGATCAATCCCTTCCCTTAGGGGATCGATCCCTTCTATCAAAACTTGCACTTTTCAGGTTTTATTCTGAGAATTTGACTTGTTTTAGTTTTCAAATGTATTTTGGCAAGATAGAAGGGTGGAAAAATATTCAATTTAAGTTTAGAAAAGATTGATTCAAGTTAGGCAAATTTTTGTTTTGTCAAATCAAAACTCTTGATCAATTCAAGGCCAACAATCTCCCTCTTTTTGATATGACAAAACTAAATGAAAAATTTGCATGAAAAACATTTTTCCTTTTGAAAAAAAAACTCCCCCTGAATTTAAGCATAAGTTTTAAGCCAACTAAACAAAATCAATATCACCAAACCAATATCATTAGGATCATCAAAGTAAGTAATTTTTTTTCAATCATACCAATATTTCTCCCCCTTTTTATCATAGCAAAAAGGATAAGATAAAGCAAAACTACAGAACAATCAATTCAAGGCCACTCATATCAGACATCAAACAACACAACAAGAGCACATGCCATATGAGAATGAAAGATGAATTTCATTGAAATAAATATCAAGTACCAATATTTACAAAACATAATGCAAAGATAGATTTTCAAAATACAATGATGTGGGAAAACATAAGTAATGGCACTAGTATAGTTCATTGAGGTAAAGGTGGAGAATGGGGAGATTGATGAGGATAAGGAGAGTGAGAGGAGGGCTGCCCCATGTACGGAGGTGTAGAGCGTATTTGCTCAATGTCAGCACAAAGGTGGCGAACTTGTGCCATCAATTCATTCTGCGTTCCCTCCATAGTTTCTAATCTGGTGTTCATACTGCCAACCATGGAGTGCAAGCTATTCATCTGAAGCAAAAGCATTTCTAAGACTCTTTGAGTGTTAAATGGTGAGGTAGAGGGTTCATCTTGCGGTTCAGGCATATCCAAAGGTTTTTGCTCTTCCTCCTCCTCTTGTACAGCTCCAACATCACCCTTTTTAACATATTGTCTAGCTGTATTTTGAACATAACTCATGCTATGCAGTGTAGGAGCCTCTAGAACACTAAATGGGTCATTGAATATCATCTGCTTGTCTCCTCTGGTATTCACCTCCAAATGCCTCAAAATGTTGCTTATTGTATACCCATATACCAAAGTAGAATCTTTATTCTGAATTGTCCTCATCATGTCATGAAAAATGAAGTGCACCAAATTTGGTTTCTTTCCATTCTTGATCTTATACATCCACCAATAATCTTGTTTCCTAATGGTGGAGTATTATGTCCCAAAAAGTGCTAGAACATGAGTAACAATGAGGTGCAGCAACCTATCATGCATGGATAACCTAGAGGCTTGAGTGGAGCAACTTGTAGATTGTGATCATTAAAGATGTCTTGAGCAAGTTGCACTGTGTCACATCTAGTGTTTGTTTCCCCCTCATTATCTAACTTAAAAGCTTCAATTAGCACTTATTGGGTAACTAGTATTTCCCTCCCCGTCACATAAGTTCTGAATCTATCAAGGTAATGCCTATTTGATCATTCAATCTAAACACAACTAGCATTACTATAGAAAACTCTTACTAAATTTTCAAATAATATACCTTCCAGAATAAATAATATAGCCAACCAAATTCTTTAAAAACATGCAGATAGGGGAAAACTGTGGATTAAAGAATGCTAACGAGATTACCCTCACAGGCTTTACTTCACGGTGTGCAAAATGCATCTCATACCAGTCATTGGCATCTAGATTGTTAAAATTCTGATTAAAGGCTGGCTTCAGTGTTGAGCTTGAAGCCTCTCTTAGAGGATTTCTTTTGTCGATGGTGACTTTGGTTTTTGGGGCCATTTTGAGGGTTCTAAGGAGTAATTTCGACAAGAGATCAAGTGGGAGTGAAGAAATTTGTAAGAAATGTTGGTAAGAAAGATCAATTTTGGGTGAGAAATGAGTGGGAGTGTTTAAGGTTTGGAGATGAGGAGTTTGGAGGAAGATGAACCGAAAAGGAAAGTTGAAATGATCGATCAAACTAAGGGAGACCCGACTTTATCATGTCCAAAAGATATGACCCGATGATCAGTTGAAGTAAAGGATCGATTGGTTATGGTTCTTTGCATGGATTCGATCAATCATTTTTGAACGAGATCGATCGGTTTTGCTCGTTTCAGACTTCTTGTAGCTATTGGTTGAATACTCGATCGATCCTATCCCAAGGGGATCGATTGGTTTTGCCTGGGTTTATCTAAAATTGGCTACTGCCTACACATCTGATTGATCTTGTCCAAAGGGGATCGATCGGTTCCTTATGTTTTCCCTTTAATTTGGCTACAAGGTGAAGAACCAATCGATCCATTCCAGAGGGGATCAATTGGTTTTTGTTGTAGCATTTTTTTTAATTAATAGATTTAAAAATGATGCAATATGATCATCCAAGCATACAATCATGCACAAATCATAGAAAAATTTAGATAAACACACATTTGATCAGTCAAGAGTGTACTATTCATCATAACATCAAGAAATTCACTTCAAGGAATATTCGTCATGCTAAGTTCACCTCTAATTGCATAAAATCTATCCTTATCAAGAGGTTTTGTGAAGATATCAGCTAGTTGATGCAGGGTATCAACATATTCAAGCACAATATCACCTTTTTGAACATGATCTCTAATAAAGTGATGCCTAATTTCAATATGTTTGGTTCTAGAGTGTTGAATTGGATTTTTAGTGAGATTGATGGCACTAGTATTGTCACATTTAATGAGAATATGATCCATGGTTATTCTTAAATCCTCCAATTGTTGCTTAATCCATAAAACCTAAGCACAATAACTTTCGGCTACCATATATTCGACTTCAATTGTAGATTGAGCAACACTATTTTGTTTCTTGGAAAATCATGATATGAGCATATTTTCAAACAATTGACAAGTACCAGAAGTGTTTTTTCTATCAATTTTGCACCCACCAAAATCTGCATCGGAATAGGCATGTAAAGTAAAAGATGAACCTTTTGGATACCATAATCCTAAATTAGAGGTGTCCTTAAGGTACCTAAAGATTCTTTTGACAACAGATAAATGTGATTCTCTAAATGAAGATTGAAATCTAGCACATAAACATACACTAAACATAATATCAGGTCTACTAGTAGTAAGATATAGCAATGAACCAATCATAAACCTATAAAGTTTAAAGTCAACACATTTACCTCCTTCATCCTTATCAAGTTCTGTTGAAGTGCTCATTGGTGTTAAGCAAGGTTTTGATTCTTCCAATCCAAACCTTATGAGCAAATTTGATGTATTTAGCTTAATTGATGAAGGTGCCATCTTTTGTTTACTTTACTTGTTGTCCCAAGAAGAATGTGAGTTCTCCCATCATGCTCATTTCAAATTCACCTTGCATAATCTTAGCAAATTCTTGACAAAGAATTTCATTAGAAGCACCAAATATAATATCATCAACATAAATTTGCACTATGAGAATGTCTTTCTTTTTATTTTAATAAAAAGTGTAGTATCAACCTTCCCTCTATTAAAACTATTTTCTACCAAAAAATTTGACAATCTTTCATACCAAGCTCTAAGAGCTTGTTTTAAACTATATTATGCTTTTGTTAATTTATAAACATGATTTGGAAATTTTGGATTTTCAAAACTGAGAGGTTGCTCTACATACACTTCTTCATTTATAAAACCATTAAGAAATGCACTCTTGACATCCATTTGAAAAAGCTTGAAATCTTTAAAACATGCAAATACAAGCAACATTTTTATGGCCTTTAACCTTACAACTGGGGCATAGGTTTCATCATAATCAATTCCCTCTTCTTGACTATACCCTTGAGCTACTAATCTAGCTTTGTTTCTAATAACATTCCCATGCTCATCCATTTTATTTCTAAAAACTCATTTTGTGCCTATAGTAGGATGATCACTAGGCCTAGGTATAAGATTCCATACTTGGCTTCTTTCAAATTGGTTCAATTCCTCTTGCATGGCTAATATCAAATGATCATCTCCAAAGGCTTTTTCTATATTTTTGGGTTCAAAATGAGATAAAAAAATAACATAATTACACACATTATAAAAGGATCTAGTTCTTACCCCTTGAGTTGGATCACCAATGATTTCATTATCTTTAACATACCTCTTTTTTCTAAAATGATTTGGCTCTTTCTTTGTGTTATGGCTCCTCCAAGAACTCATCATCTTCTTTTTTATTGTTCTCTTCAATGTCATGAGGTGCATCATTAATCCATTCTTGAAGTATACCTACATCATCATCATCAAAAAGCACCAATGGAGCCAATCCCTTCAATTTGGCCTTTTGAGTTGTCACCAAATGTAACATCTCCTCCACTTTTAGTTTTCAAGTCTTTGAAAAATGTTTTATCCTCGGTCATGTGTTTTGAGCATCCACTATCAAGGTATCATGGATTGTTCTTGCTTGAATTGGCTTTGTAGCAATGATTATCCACCTTGGACTCATCAAGAGCCATGAGACATAGATTGGCTACTTTCCCTTCATTTGATTCATCATTAGAAAAGTCACTATCACTCTATGTTGCTACCATAGCTTTCTTCTTTGGCTTTGTCATGTTTTACTTTTTCCATAAAGGATAATCAAATTTAATGTGACCCGATTTGTTGCATTCATAGTAAATAATTTGGTCTTTTTCTCTTCTACTTGATTTTTCTTTAGTCATCTCCCTTTGTGGTCTTCTTCTGCTAGAGAACTTGTTCATCATGAATTTTTTGAATCTATTTGCAAACATGGCCATTTCTTCATCTTTATCATCTTTTTCTTGTCCAAAATTTTCTTCATCTTTTTGAAAGGTAGATTTGAGAGCAATGCCACCTTTCTTGATTGGTTCTTGTCCCTTTTGATCTTCATTTCATAGGTGAGGAGAGAGCCCATTAGTTCATCCAAAAAAAGTGTGTGAGGGTCTTTGGACTCTTCAATAGCTGTCACTTTGGCTTTCCAGCTCTTTGGTAGACTATTGAGAATTTATTCATCATCTCTAAGTAAGTCTTTCCAAGAGCCTTTAAACCATTAATGATGTCGGTGAAATGGTTTGACATCTCACTAATGGTTTCATCTGGTTTCATCTTAAATAACTCATAATCATGAGTAAGCATGCCAATTTTCATCTCTTTCACTTGATTGGTACCTTCATGAGTAACAGCTAGCTTATCCCAAATTTTTTTATATTTTTACATAAGAAAACTCTATTGTACTCACTTGGTCCCAATGCACAAAAGAGTGTATGCATTGTTTTGGCATTAAGTTGAGCCATCTTCATGTCATTGACATCCCATTCACTCTCTAGCTTGATCACTTCCTTACCATCCACCACCTTCATTGGAATTTGAAAATCATTTACAATGACCCTCCAGACTCCATAATCATTAGCTTGAATGAACAACCTCATCCTAGTCTTCCAATAAGGGTAGTTGTCAACAACAAAGAGAGAGGGTCTAATAATTAAATGTCCTTCATTCCAAGAGATATTATAACTATTTCATTTGCCCTAAGACACACCTCTTGTTGGCCACTATAGTTGTTGTAGCTTGAGATGGTTTTTTACATTAATTACCATATTTTTTGAGCCATTTTCAGGATCACTCTTGGGCTATTAAACCTATAAAAAAATACTAGCTCTGATACCAATTGTTAGCTCAAAGATTTGGAATAAACCAAGAAGTAGTGAATTGGTTTTAATGAAGTTTTCAAAAACAATTTCAATAAGCATAAATTTTGCTAAACAATTAAACACAATAATTGAAAGTAAATAAGAGATAGGGATAGAGAATATAACACCACGATTTATAAAGGTTCGATCTTTCCTTAGGCACCTACGTCTCTCCCTTAGCTTCTCTTGCCAAGGAGTTCAATCCACTATATGAAGAAGATTACAATTAAGCTTCTTCAAGCTTTGCAAGAACTCAACTCAACACACTCTTAAGGGTTATCTCCCTTTTAAGCTTACAAACTCATAATACAAAATTTGAAGTGTTTTGCAAACTCTAAGAACCTCACAAAGGTTGGGTGTTTGCTAATTTTATGTACACAACAATTTGGACAAGTAAATAGAGAAGAATTGATATGAATTCTGCATTTTTCTGACTTGGAACAACTTTGAGTGCTTAGCAAATTGGTAGGTATAGCAATAAGTTTTCTTGGCTCTTATTTCTCTTGGTCTGCAGTGGAATGCTTAATTTATAGGTAGGAAGAAGTTGAGAGCTGTTGATAGCTTTAATGCTTCAAACCTATAAAAATTTTAGACAAAAAATAGCCATTGAGAGTTTTTAGCCTTAAAGGGATCATCCCTTGTCTTAGGGGATTGATTGGTTCATGTTGGAGAAGGCTCGATTTCATGCCTAAATTGCCTTACCTGATCGATCCCTTCATCCAAGGATCGATTGCTTCTTTAGGTGATCGATCCCCTATGTAGGGGGATCAATCCCTTTTCTGGATTTTCAGATTTGGGGAGCTTTCTGTTTGAGCAACCGATCATCCCTTGAAAAGGAGATCAATCTTTTTTCTAGAAAATTGCACAATGAACACATTCTGTTTGAGCAACCAATTGATCCCTTTTTTGGAAAATTGTACGATGAACACTTTCTGTATGAAAAAATGATCGATCTAGTCATTTTGAAACCCTAACTGATCGATCCTTACAGGAGGGGATCGATTGGTTTTTGCCAAAACATAAGGAATTTTCAGTTCTGGAAGAAGACAGGATCGATCCATTTTGCTAGGGGATCGATCTGGTAGGGAGGGGATCGATCCCTTCTATCAAAACTTGCACTTTTTAGGTTTTATTCTGAGAATTGACTTGTTTTGGTTCTCAAATGTATTTTGGTAAGATAGAAGGGTGAAAAATATTCAATTTAAGTTTAGAAAAGATTGATTCAAGTTAGGCAAATTTTTGTTTTGTCAAATCAAAACTCTTGATCAATTCAAGGCCAACAAGATTAATTAAATATTAGTTATTTAAAATATGCTAATTTAATTAAAGATATAAAAATTAATATCTCTTACTTATTAATTTATTTGAATAATGATTATTATATCTTCAATTATTATAATGATAAACTATTTAAATATTAATAATTGTTTTGTCATAAAACAAATTAAATAAGTTTATTATTATATAATTATAATAAAACAATTTTTATTATTAATAACAATATTTTAATATTGTTAATTTAAATATACATTTTAATTAATAATTAATAATTAATTATTAATTTATTTGAAATTTTAAATATTTATAAATTATGAAATATTTCTAAGTTATAATAATTAAATTTAATTATAATTTAAATAAATTTAAATTTAAATTTAAATTAATAATTTATAACAATTAAATTTGAATTATGCCTTAATTTAAGTTAATTGATTATAATTTATAATAAGTTATTAATATTTGATTAATATAAATATTATATAATTAATTTAGTTATATAACAAACAAAATTAATAGTTAAGCATTATAGTTTCTAGTTTAATATTAGTTATTTTATATTAATCAGATTATATAAGATTATATAGATTTGTCAATTTAGTTTATAGTTTAAATAGAAAATTATTTAATTAAATTTTATTTAATTGTTACTTAAATTAAAATCTTAACTTATTATTTAAATGATAGTTATTAGTAAATATCTATTAGTTAATAATCTCTATTTTTTATTAATATTAAATTTAATTAATTTAAGTAATATAATAATTAAATAATTACTTAAAATAAATTTTAACTAATTTATTCTTTTAATAATGATAAACTAATAAATATTAATTATATATATAAATAATATATATCGTATTAGTTGCTTGATTACAAATATATTAATTTATAAAGTTAAATATTAAAGTTATTTAAAAAATTATTAATTAATATTTATTGTAATATGTATAATATTATTCATAGGTTAATATAATAAATAAAATTGATTTAATAGATTAATAAAGTTTAAAAAATATTTGATTATTATAAATATTTTTAATTATTATAATTATAACTAAGAATTATATATTTTAATCTATTTGATAATAATAATTAAGTAAAAATGCCTTGGAGCTTAGCCAATGGATAATATGTATCCATTCAACCATGTTCTTGGTATCAGTAACCTCTGAAACCAAGCTAAGATTAGAATCACATATCGATGCTTGAATATGATCCCAACTCCGATCACCATATAGAGGATCCATAGAGGTAAATGGACTAAGAACACCAAGAATTGTTAAAGGCCCTTCAAGAAAAATATCCAGATGGGAAACCAACACATGATTGATCTCTACCACTCTTTCTTTGACATCAACCTTTGTTATAGGCACATTCTTTCCATGAAGAATGGTAGGGACGTAACCACCTTGGTGCTTTTTCAAGAGATCATTCATGGAAAGTTGAAGAAGAGAAGCATGATATTGGAAAAGATGCTTCAAGAGCCAAGAAGCGTGAGAGGCGATTGTAATGAAAGAGTCTAGGATTGCAAAGATTGTGGAGTGTGGAGAGGAAATGAACATTTCGGGGCTGATTTGAAGGATTTAAATTATAATTAGTGCTTATATTTTTATTAATTATCAAAATATAATTGATTTCAAACCATAAATAATTATTATAAATATTAAGAAATTATATTCAAATTAATAATAATTTGAATTATTGGTGTGTGAATTATTACATATTGTATATGGTAATTAAACTCAATTATATATAATAACTTAATTATATATAATAATATAATAATATTATATTTATTAATTTATTAAACTCAATTTATTAAGAATTTAATATATTTATGGACTAAATTATGATTTATAAATCTAATTGGTTTATAATGTCCATTTGAACAAACAATGAATTTATTATATAATATAAAATCTATTAAATATAATAAATTGATTAAATATAAATTTATTAATTAACTTTATTTAATTAACTATTTTATAATGACTTGAAATATTAAATAAATTTAATATTAGATTATAATATTTAGCAATAATTTGTTATTGTTATTAATTTTATCAATAATTAATATTTAATTATTTAATTAACATTAATGAATTAATATTATTTAATACTATAAAATATGATTATAATATATAATAAATATAATATTATTATAATTAATATAGTCAAATTATATCTATTATTAATATAATTATAAATTAGCTTGAATGAATTTACAATTATAATATTATAATCATAATATTAATAATTCAAATATAATAAAATGAATTAAATAAATTATTATAAATTATAATTGTTATTAATTATAACAATTATAAACAAATTAATAATAAACAATATCATTATTAATACTATAAATAGTTATAGTATAATATTTGCAAAACAAAAGGTACAATTAATATATAGTATTATATATAAATTATTATATAATTAATTAACTTATTAAATATTATATTTCTATTTATAATTAAATACTTATTATTATGTACTTAATATTTATATATAATAATTATAAACTTATTTGAATATATAATGAATATTATATATATATTCATTATTATATTATATAATTAACAATTTAATAAATAATTTCTCTAGTGATATAATTATAATTATAATTATAATACATAATCTATACTATTTACGATTATATTTATTAAATTATAATACTATAAATTATATATTAATTTATTAAAGATAAATTATTATATTAAAATCTATATTGTTGTACTAATAATTATACATATAATTAATTATATTAATAAATTAATATAGTAAGTTCAATTAATATTTTATAATTAAGAATAAGCAATTAATGTTATAATATTATTAATAAACTATATTATGTATAATTATATATATTATTATATATATTTATTATAATTGTTAATAATTAACGATATTGTATATATTATCTAATTAAATTACTATATATAATTATTATATATATTTATATATTATATATATTATCTAATTAAATTACTATAATAAATAATAATATAATTATATTAGGTTAATTAATTATAACTATAATTAATAGTTATTTATAGTATTACCTATATGATAAACAAGAATTTATTAATTCTATTATTTCATAATTTTTGTTATATAATACTTAATTTTATTTATATCAATAAAATCTATAATATTTTATTATTATCATTATTATGATAAATATGACTATAAATTAATTACTAATATTAATTTTACTCATATTCATTATAAATCATTTTAATATTCATTGTTTGTTCATTGTTTATTGATTAATAAATATTGAATTGACTATCAGAATCAAATTATAAAATTAGTTAATTTATAAGCTTTATTATTTAAATAATTTAATTTATTCATAATTATTAATATATAATAATTTAACTAATAATAACTATTATTACTGAATAAAGATTATAAATTATAATCTAATTTTAAACTAAAATTACTACAATAATTTATTGTATAATTATTATCTAAAATTAGTATTATCGAATCTATTTATTAATATTAAATATAATTTACTATAATTATATTTTATAATTAAGTTTATTCAATTAAACAATTGAATAATTTCAAATAAAATTAATACTAATATTGTCAATTTAATTTTTTAATAATTTTTTTCAAAATTGGCCTAGTCGTAGCTCTATTTATAATATAACAAGAGATATTTATGGCTTTCGCCTAAAAATATCTAGGTCAATTATTTTCACAAAGCATGGTTCTAACCATTTCTTCTAAAGTCCTATTTCTCCTTTCTACTATCCCATTTTGTTTATAATTAATTTATATAATACATATTTATACAATTTTGTCATAAAATATTGTATTCATATATTAAATATTTTTATAATTATATTAATATAATTAAATACTTAATAGATTTATTCAATTATAAGTAATACTAGTTAAATTATTATTATAATTATATATTAGTTAATAGTATAATTATTTTAATAATTTAAATAAGGAAGAGATTAAATTATACTAATTTAATATAATATTTAATTATTAAATATTAAAAATAATAATAATATTATAATTATTATTTAATAATATAATATAATATTATTATATATAATTAAATATAATCATATGAATTTAAAAATATAATAATATTATATTTATTAAATTAATACAATAATAATTGTTTATACTTTATTAATTATTATTATTATTATTTATAATAATAGTAATTTATAAATTATCTATTTCATATAATTATTAATTATAGTATTATTTATAGATACTACTATAATTATATAATACTAAATAATTAGTATTATTTTATTAATTTTTGAAAGATTAATAATTATTATTATTTTATTTCAAATAATCATGTATGATAAAAAACAATTGTTATATGACCAAACAAAAGGTGATAACAATTTGAAATAGATCATTGGTCTAATGGACATGACTATTTGAACTTGTTCAGTAAACAAATTTATTTTTTAAATATCCTACCTATTAATTTGCAAAATATTAATAAAGTAGTATTATTTTATTTTGAATAAACTTGTATGAATAGAAACTATATTTACTAAATTTATTATCTATTTGATAATAATAATTAAGTGTTTATAAATTAAAATTATTATAATCTTTAATAATTATTATATTATAAGTTACGTTATACTTATAAGTATTTAAATAATTTAATAATACTTATAGTTTATTATTAATTATCTGAATATTGATTTTAATTTAAATATTTTAATTATTAATTTTTGTTAATTAATAGATATCTAAAAAGATTTATTTTTTAGATCTATTATAATAAGTATTAATAATATTATAAATATAATTGTCACATTATAAATATTGTTTAATATTTTTTTATAAATTAATTATTATAAATTAAATCTAATTTAATAGTATTATTAAAATATAAGCCAAACACCAACATCAACCTCAAACACCACAAAACAGTTTTTTCCTATCCAAAATGTCCCTTATCAAATAATATTTAACAATAAATATAGTCATGTCAATATTTTAATAACAAAATATTAATCAATTGTTTTATAAGCTATTTTTAGAAATTAATTAATAAATTTAACAATTAGAATATTAAATCTCTTACTTATATTAAACTCGTATTTTAGTTAAATTAGTTTATTTTTTAAATTTTACATATTAACTACATTTAATATGTTAATAAATTTTTATAATTTTTATAGAACCTATACCTTTTAAATTGTTTACCGAACAAGTTTGAATAATTATGGCTATTTGAACAATTATTTATTTAAAATAATTATGACCATTTGTTTTGTCATAAAACAATTGTTTTAGTTCATAAAAGTTTATCCAAAATAAAATAATACTACTTTAGTAATATTTCAAAAATTAATAAGTAGCTAATTTAAAAGAATAAATCAATTTACCCAATCAGTTCAAATAATTATAGCCATTTAAACAACTATCTATTTCAAATTGTTATTACATTTTGTTTTGTCATAAAATAATTGTTTTTCAACATACAAGCTTATTTGAAATAAAATAATACCAATTTATTAATATTTTAAGAATTGATAAGACATTTAAAAAATAAATCAGTTTATTGAACTAATTCAAATAGTTATGACTATTTGAACAATTTTCTATTTCAAATTATTACAACCTTTTGTTCTATCATAAAATAATTGTTTTTGTTCATACAAGCTTATTCAAAATAAAATAATACTAATTTAGCAATATTCTAAAAATGAATAACTAAGAGATTTAAAAAATAATAATTTAGTATGGGGAATATTATTATTTTATTAAAATTAATAATTAATAATAGATCTAAAAAATAAATCTTTTTAGATATCTATTAATTAACAAAAATAATAATTAAAATATTTAAATTAAAATCAATATTCAAATAATTATATATAAATTTAATTGTTGAATATTTTGTTATAAATTAATTAATCTAATTAAATATTTATTAAAATCATAACCCTTTAGATTTAATATGAATTATTGATTAATAATTTATTTATTTATTTTATATATCATAATAAAAGTTCATACTTTTAATAATTTAATATAATAATCCTTATTAATTGTAAGGATTTATAATAATTATTAAAATATTTAATTGTTCAAATCATTACCAATTAATAAAAAGCTTAATATTAATATCAATATTAAATTAGTATTAATATTAAACAATGTTGATAATTATTCTTTTCAATTATATTATTTGAAATAATAAAACTGCAATTAATATAAATATCAAATAAAATAATATTAATCTAATTAATTACTTGAAAATCAATTAACTTATTTAATTTTTTAAATATTTTTATCGATATCTATATAACTAGAAGTTATGCACTTGCCATTAGATGTTGGATTGAATAGTTCAACTCCATTTTCGAGATGTCATTTGATTTTTATGAGTTCAATTCAAAAAATAATCAAGCAACTTAAGTTCGACTAATTAGATTTTGTTATAATTAATTTGTACAAGAAGCATGAAATTTGACCTGATTTTGAATTTGAATTCTTTAATCAAAGATTGTCATGGCATTCGTAAGTTAACTTATTTTATTCTAAAATATGA